TTAGAGCTCGGATCAGCGGGTAATTAGGCTCCAAGTTAATAGTGTCAAGCGCGTTGACGGCGATGAACAAAAGCCCAAATTGAGGGTCAAAACGAAGTCCAACGAGTGCCATCCTTTTGCATGGTCTTCTTCTCGATGTATGCTCCAACTTTTATTTTTGGGTCAAGTCAAGTTACTTAACGAAATTTGGAGAACGTGAGACGTCAATGCCGATGTCGATGAATTTCAGACTTAGAATATTTCTAAGTGCTGAAATCAGCAGCAGTTCCAACTTCGCCCTCTGTTTGACTTATTTCCAAGTTGATCTAGCTCTTGGTCCAAAAACAAAGTTTGTTCTACATGATATGGACTACAACTTTCATTTAAGGTCCAACCTCAAAACTGGTATAGAACCTATTATTCTACTTTGACCAAAGTAGGATCACGATGAAGCTTAAATTATCCTTTTTGATCCATTGGAGCATTTTCTTGGCATTTGCCCAACATGAACCCTTCATGATTTTTGTTGTAGAGTTCATCTAGAGTCATTTTAGCAAGGTTGCAAGGTTTGGTGGACATCTCATGTTCTCATTCACTTAATAGTGCAATTCAAGCACTTAGTAAAATCATTCCAACAAGGATATAACTTATCATTTCATGTGACTTTTTGATTCCAAACTTCATGAAACTTTTCGAGTGTCCAATATAGATGGGTATTGATATGAGATACATGAAAATATCCCAATCACACCACCTAAGCATATATCTTGAAAAGGGGTCTATAGGCGAGCAAAGGTGCAATATCCAAGTTTAGGTTGGGGCTCGTTTCTATAGGTTTGACCTTGACATCTTCATCATCACTTAATATATCATGTTTTAGCTCAAACCCATTGCTTAACTAGTGGCAAACACCTGGGGTGTTACATGAGCTTTTCAGCCTCTCCTCTTCTTGAACACACATTGCAATGAGCTTCTCTATATCCCACTTATCGGGCTGCATGTTGTAGTTCACAACAAAATTTTCATATTCTTTGGGCAAGGAAGCAAAAACTAAATGAACAAGAAACTCATCCTTGAGCCTCAAATCCATTGGCTTCAGCTTCGAAGCTGTGTTGCTCATCTTCAGTATATGCTCTCTAATACCGCCACCAGTGTATTTCTCATTGAATAATTTTTTGATCAAAGTACTGATATAAGCCTTTGAAGAGCCAGTGAACTGACTCTCTACTTTCTTAAGATACTCTATGGCGATATCATAATCTGGGATAGATCCTCTTATTGCATCTGAAATTGTGGACTTAGCCATCATCAAGCACTTGCGGTTTGAAATGTCCCATTTCTTACGTTCGAGATCATATTTCATCCGCACTTCTGTATGATCTCGCTGCCGAGCAGTGAAATCAGCATCAGTCTTATTTTTTCCCTCACTGGGTCCACTGGCTCAGTAGGACACGGAGAGATAAGCGTTAGGTCATTTTTAGACAGCGCAAGTGCTAGTTCATACTTCTCTCGCCATACCCTATAGTGCCCCCTTCAAGAGGCGGTATGTGTGAGATAAATGTCATTGGGTTGAGTCCTGAAAAACACCGTCAGAGATAGTGAGAAAAAATCATGACATAATAATTGCATGCCTTAATTTAACGTTGGTCAAAATTAAAACATACAACTTTCTTATACACTAATTCTATATTATGAATGAACATTATAATATTACTATTATCAATGTTGGTCAAAAAAAAATAACAATATTATAATTTACTGACTAAAATATGCTCCTTCAAATTTAATTCTCCCATTGGTTCGAATTTAATTAGAAGATAATAAACTTTAACATTATAGCGGAAACATAAAAAAATTATTTATCTACTTTTTAGAAACATTTTACTATACAAATCTACTCTCTGGAAAAATTATCCCGTTGGTTCAAATTTTGACAGAGATTAAAATAGGACAAAAAATAATCAAAATTTGCTTCTAAAAATAATAAAAGAATAACACTGTATCTACTGTTCATTTGGCCCAACCTGTTGAAACAATGCATCGCCCAATGACAAAATGCCTCCTATACCAGGCTTCATGTCAACACAGCTGCAAGGCCATGGCCCACGCCCGAGGCCGCAACTCCGGCCTAGGCCAAGAATCTCTAACCCCGCCTGGGCCAAATTTTGGTCCAGCGAACGCCGACCGTCCATCACGATCCAACGATCCACGCTCCTCGCGAGATCAAAACCGACGTCCACGGCCACATCCAAAACCCTAAGCTCATTCCACACTTCATTTTCTCTCTCTCCTCCTTGTGCGGCGGCTGAACCCGATGGCCGGAGAAGCGCGTGGTGTGCGCCGCCGAGGCGCCCTTTCGTCGAGTGCCAGCGTCTTGGCTGGATCCACGCTGCGGCCGCAGGTGGTGGTGCTCTTTGCACCCCCACACGCAATGCGGTGGAGTTGCCCTAAACCCTAGATCCCTCCTGGGTGAGCGCGCCGCCGTCGAGCGGTCTTGTGATGGTGCCCTCGGCCGGGGCTCGCGCGCACGGCGACGAGCGGCGCCCGCTTCTCCCTGCATGCCGGCGAGGCAGCGGTGGGTGCATCTTCCCGCGCCGCTAGTGGTGACGGCGGCGAGAAACCAGGTAGGTCTTCCCCCTTCTCCGTCCATCCATCTAGGGTTAGGGTTTCAGGTGGGGTTTCAATCCGATTCGAATCGAGTCCCTCCTTCTATTTTCTTCGTGATTTCTACCCCAAAGACTAGATCTACATCTAGACCAGACGACTGATACCATTGACCGACACATAGGATCGGCTAGGTGTAGATCAACCAGGTCTAACTGACATTTGGGATAAATAGTGAACCCTAGAACATATACTAGTAATGGGAAAACAGAGAGAGAGAGAGGGGTGCGGAGATGCAAACCATCGACCGTTCGACGAAGATGAGCTTGCCATCGCTGGTGCGCGGTGGAGGTGCGGTGGTGACTCGGTGAAGGCGCGACGGTGACGCGGTGGAGGCGCAGTCGCAGGGCGGCGGTGCAGATGCGGGATGAAGCCGGTGGTGGTGCTTCCCGTCGCTGGCAGCGCCCCCTCTCTAGATCGGTTAGGGTTTGGGATGCAGGTGTGGTGTCTGGCGGCTTAGGTGAATCTCGTTCCTTGTGTTCTGGCCCCAACCTCTCTTTTTATGGCGCTGTGCGATGAGGGCCCACCAACCATAGTTAGGGTTGGGCGCCCCCGATTAGGGCGCGGATCAAGGCCCAATTAGCCGTTGGACCAAACTGGTGGGATCAATCTAACAATTATTACAACGAGAGTCTACAGATTACAATCAAAGGAGAAGAGAAGACTGATATGGTATTCTTTATCTGATGAAGAGCCTTGAGATTTTTTAAATGATTGGACTGGAGAAATTCCTGCTGAAACTTAAGATGTTGTGGGACTCGAAATGAATTATGAATCTGTCATGAATCCCCTCCATAGCTCCAAGCCATTTTCCGAATACAATTGAACAATTGGCAGTATGGGTACAGTGGAGTCCCTTGATCTCTCCTTGAATCAACTTTCATGTGTAATTGCTCAAAACATGGTCATCATTGCACTTGCTAAGCCAACATGTCATACAACAATCTCTCAGACTGTAGCTCTGTGTTTTCAGCTTCTAGCATTCTGTGATGCAGCCAACGATGATTATGGGCCTGTTCGCTTCGAGGAATTCTGGAGGAATTTGGATGGTTTGGAGGAATGTTGGAGAAATTTGTGAGAGAAAAACACTGTTCCGGATAAAAAAAGAAGCGGATCAAGCCGGGTTTAAGGACACGCGAATGGGGCCTATCTCTGCTGCCCTCTAGATTCAGAGCTGCTCAGGACTCGAGCAAGACCCATTGAGCATGAAAACACACATATCGCCATGATGTCTTGCTCTATGTATTTCCTGGGCCTTGATTTGAACTTGGATTAGCGTATTTGGGCTACTTTGTGTTTTGACCTGTAACGCAGAGAAGAAGTGGTACTTCTGGCCCAATATGAAAAATCAGGACAGTGGTGGTGCTACTAGAACAAATGCGAGCACCGCATTGATGGACAACAATCAGAAATCAACACTTGCAAGAGCTACGGAAAGGATGTGTAATGTGTCATGTATCAGGAAGTTGAGAGTGAGGTGCAACGTGTCATGTTGAGCTTTCTGCATGAACTCACGAATGTTAGTACCCCAGTGCCATATGTTGAAAAATTTAGTGTAAATCTGAACTGTTCATCATCATCCATAGCAAATACAGTAGAACTTTTGATTGAGGAATTCACATTATAACTCACAAATAAGGTCACTGAGCCTTTTTTCCAATTAATCAAAACCTGTATCAAAGAAGAATAAGTATATAGTATACAGCCATTTACAGAAATTACGCCCACTCTTTTTTTAGATAAAGAGAATTACACCCACTCTATGGCTACCTTTGTGTATTATCCATTTATCCCTGTATATATGTTCTCCCCAATTTATCTAATCTAATATCAAAAAATCACCAAGTCCGGTGCCGTAAAACTAACAATTCAAAATGTAGACTAGACCTGAACAATCTCAATCAATCCATTTTGAAATTTGAAACAAACACGTTTCATCTCAAGGACAGAGAAGCCGTCTCATTCTGATTCTGATCCTTGAAGCTATTTCCTTGCTGCTGCTTCTCATTGCAAATCTGAAATGTTCATCATCATCCATAGCAAATTCTAGTAGTTTTGATTGGGGAATTCACATCATAGCTCACAAATAAGGTCATTGAACCTTTTTTTTTCCATTTAATCAAAACCTATATCAAAGAAGAATCAGAACATAGTATACAGCCATTTACAGAATTACACCCACTCTATGGCTACCTTTGTGTGTTATCCATTTATATCCTTGTTTGTTTGTTCTCCCCCTCCATCTAATCTAATATAGAAAACCACCAAGTCCAGCACCGTCAACGAAACAATCCAAAATACAGACTAGACCTGAGCAATCTCAATCAATCCATTTCGAAATTTGAAACAGACACGTTTCATCTCAAGAACAAAGAAGCCTTCTCATTCTGATTCTGATCCTTGAAGCTCTTTTCTTGCTGCTGCTCGTTGCCATTGCCATCCTGCAAAGCACCGGGCACCCACCAAACTCTGATGGTCTTGTCAAGGCTCCCGCTGTAGACCATGCAGCCATTGCTGAGCCTGCACCAGGACGCCTGGATGCATTTGACGGGGCCCTCGTGGCCTGCAACGACGCCCAACTTGGCCAGCTCGCCGCCGCTCTGCCAGCGCCACAGGCCGATGGTCTTGTCGGCGGAGCCGGTGCAGAGCAGGTCCCTGACGACGCAGAGGCACAGCACGGCCATGTCGTGCGCCTTGACATCGCACGCGAGGGTCCAGCGCGCGGCGGTCCTGCCGCCGAGGCGGTCCCAGCCGGCGACGTGGCCGTCGGAGCCCGCTGCGTAGACCCTGCGGTCGGCGGCGGCGACGGCGAGCGCGTTCCAGGAGACGCCGTCGCGGGCGACGAGGACGCCCTGGAGGAAATGCGACGCCTTGCCCTTCTCCCAGGCCTTGACGCGGCCGTCGGCGGATGCCGAGTAGACGACGCCGGCGTCGGCGGCGACGGCGTTGATGGCGTCGTCGTGGGCGCGGATGGATTCGAGGCACTTGAGGTCGGCGATGCGCCAGACCTTGAGCGTGCGGTCCCACGACCCGGAGTAGAGCAGCGCGGCGTCGTGCACGGTGGCGGCGACGGCGAGGCAGGAGATGCTGTCGGCGTGCTCGATCCAGAGGCGCCGGTGGCTGCGCCGCGCCGTCGTCTGCACGTAGCTGGCCTGGCGGAACACCCGGCCCAGGTAGTCCCTGGCGGTGGGCAGCGCGGCGACGAGCTTGAAGGCGTTCTCGGAGCGGGAGCGGCGGGAGACGCGCCAGACGCGGACGCGGCCGTCCTGGTGCGCGGAGAAGACCCGCCCGCCCGTGGCCGCCAGCGCCTTGACGGAGCCGCCGTTCTCGCCGTGGCCGAACCGCGCGAAGCGCCGCAGGTCGGGCTGCTGCCACGCCACGATGTCACCGCCCGTGGACGCGCTGAGCAGGAACTCCCCGCAGAGGGAGAGGCTGGAGACGGAGCCCGCGTGGTCCCGCAGCACCGCCAGCGCCTTGCACGGGCCGTGCGGCTGCGGCATCGGCGGCATCGCGGCGGGCGGCGGGAAAGCGGAGGGGGGTGAGGAGGTGGTGGAGGAGGTGGAGGAGGAGGACGAGGAGAAGGACGCGAAGGAGGAGGAGGAGAAGGAGGCTGTCAGGTACGCGGGCCGTGGGAGCAGCGGCGCCGTCATGGCCGCGCGGTCCGCGTCCGGCATTGCCGCCATGGTGAGGTTAAGGGGAAGGGATGAGGGTCCGCCGCTCTGGCGCTCCGGCATGGCACGCGCAGAGACGTTGGGGAGGAGAGGCGCGGCGATGGATGGCTATAATAGCAGAGGGTGGTGGTGGTGGTCGTCGTTGGTTCGCGTCGCAGACAGAGGGGCGCGGCGCGGGGCGCGGGCCGTTTCATATAACACACGACGAGCGCCAGGGTGCTGTCTCTTTTTTTTCCCCTCCTTTCCAGAAAGGTAATTAATTCAAGGCGGGTGGGGTGGGGCCGGCGATGGACAGGCGGTTCAACGGCTACTAGCTGGAGAGGCTGCAGGCGAGGTACGGTGAGCTGCTTTGCCAATTGCCACTACGGTTTCCTTCCCCTCCTTTATTTTCTTTTCAGACCGATCAGGCAGCATCACAACACAACGGCACACGAATTCGTCTGTTCATGCAGACGCAGATTTTAGGTTGGATCCAGAGCATTTCTTTCTGCGTTAATCACCGGCTATTTTTGGCGGAAATTAAGGGTACAGGTGCACACACGCGAGCGGTAGCATCTAAACACATCTTAATTCCTTTCATGCCAGTTTCTAAGCAACTCCGGCCAATGCTGCAGAAATTGGCACCAATTTCAGACAGCTGAACTGTAAATGTGCAAACATAAACATATTTGAGGTAATTGCTTGAGTGATTGCCGACTGTTTAAGAAGATTAGTTTATCATCAGTTGATGGTTGTCTCGGTCTGCGGTGATGGCAACAAGCGCTGAACCCGCAATCACGGCTGTACATCCACCATAGACGACGATGCATAGCGAGAGTAGAGGTCACATGCATGCGACCACTACGAGTCTACGACGACGAGGAACCTACCCTTTTTCGTTCCTTGTAACCTCGTCCGGACACTTGGCCTGCTCCCATTCTTTCTCTGTGGTGCTGGTGCTGGATCACGAAGCACTTGCATCAACCGGTGCACGTGCATCGGACGATGGCGGCGTCACGATCGCCGACGAGTAGTCTCACAACAGATTATGGTCACTGTTGTTTCTGTGAAAAGATAAGAGACATTTTTTTGTTGTTGCATGAACATGCGTCCGACTGACCGACTTTGTGCTGGAGTTCCCTTCAAGACTAGCCCTAGCTAGTAGTAGTACGCACCTAGTGCTATTTGTCTACGGAACGGCACCCACTGCGGCCACGCGCCATTTATCCACCGACCAGAGCCGGAGCCGGATGGCATGCTGGAGTGCAACGGCTGAACGTACAACACATGCTTTGCAGCATTGTTGGGTTGCATTGTGCCGGACAAGCTTCAGGTACGTCGTATTAGTATAGCCCGGGTGGCTACCTTCACTTGCAGAGAACACACATGCATCTATATACTTGTAGTCTATATGTCGTTTGAAAGATTACTGGCAACTACCTCCTTCTACTTGTAATCTCACACGGCTTTACGTACGTACTCTACCTTGCTTCCGGCTTAATTAGCGGGGAGACTAACAACTTTTTCATTTTTATTTTATAGAAATAGAGTAGGAGTTTTGATTGATAAGAGCCTCAAGAATGGTGTGGTGGGAGTGAGAAGGCAAGGAGATAGGATTATCTTAGTCAAGCTTGTCGTTGGTAATATGGTCTTGAACGTAATTAGTGCGTATGCCCCCAAGTAGCCCTCGTTGACAGAGTGCTAAGAGACAGCTCTGGGAAGACTTAGATGGCACAGTTAGAGCTATACATAGTAGTGAGAAGCTTTTTATAGGAGGAGATCTTAATGGGCATGTAGGTACTATGCTTTGCAGTTTTCGAGGTAGTTCATGGAGGTTTTGGGTATGGTAGTAGGAATCGGGAGGGAGGAAGTTCGGACTTCGGTAGCTTTGACCCGATGATAGCCAACACTTTCTTTAGAAAGAGAGAATCTCATCTAGTGACCTTGAGAGCGGACAACACAGAGAGTTTGGCAGATTGATTGACTTTGTCCTCGCAAGAAGAAAGGACAAACGAGCATGCTTGGATTGTAAGGTGATACTAGGGGTGTGTTGTTTCTCAACATAAGCTTTTGGTGGCGATTTTTGGCTTTCAAAAGCGTGTCTGTAGGGATAAACAAGCTAAGATTGAAAGAACAAAGTGGTGGAAACCGAAAGGGGAGACGTCGAGAGGTATTTAGGAAAAGGTTATCAAAGAGGGCTCTTGGAAGGAAGAAGACGACATAAACAATATGTGGGACAAGATGGCAACCAACATTCTTGGAAGGTAGCCTCGAGAGGTGTGTGGAGTAACCAAAGGAAGGGGACGCGAGGCTAATCTGGCCATCACTACCGTGATTTCTTTTAGACACTTGGTGGTGGAAACGATGAAGTCCAAAGGGCTATTAAGGAGAAGAAAGAATGCTATAGACGCTTGTACCATGACAGAGTGTGGACAACATAGAGAAGTATAAGGTGGCAAAGAAGACCAAAGCGTTTAGTGTAAGTGTGGCAAAGGGTAGAGCGCGTGACGAGGATCTTTACCAACATTTGAGTCTGAAGGAAGGAGAGAAGGACATTTATAGGATGGCTAGGGTTCATGAGAGAAAGACACGGGACTTCAACCAAGTTAAGTGCATTAAGGATGAAAGGGAGCATCTCTTGGTAAAGGAGGATGAGATCCGACATCGATGGCAAGAGTATTTTGACAAATTGTTCAATGGTGAGAATATGGACACAACCTTTCAGTTGGATGACTTTTTGATGACACCAATAGACGCTTTTGTGCGGAGAATCCAAGAATCTGAGGTCGAGAGGCGTTGAAAAGGATGAAAGGAGGTAAGGCGATGGGACCGGATGATATCCCAAATCGAGGTGTGGAGATGCCTCGGGGACATAGTCAGTAGTATGGTTGACCAAGTTGTTCAACCATATTTTTGATCAAACAAGATGCCCGATGAGTGGAGGAGAAGTATATTGGTACCGATCTACAAGAATAAAGGGGATATTCAAAGTTGTACAAATTACCGGAAATTAAGTTGATGAGCCATACTATGAAGCTATGGGAGAGAGTTATCGAGCATCGCTTGAGAGCAATAACGCTGGTCTCTATGAACCAATTTGGTTTCATGCCCTAAGGTCAACCATGGAAGCCATTTTCTTAATAAGACAAGTTATGGAACGGTATAGGGAGAAGAAGAAGGACCTACACATGGTTTTTATTGACTTGGAGAAGGCTTATGATAAAATACCAAGGAATGTTATGTGGTGGGCTTTGGACAAACATAAAGTCCCAAACGGCACGCGTCGGGCTCATTAAGGACATGTACAACAATGTTGCGACTAGAGTTCGAACAAGTGATGGAGACACGGATGACTTCTCGATTAGGATAGGACTACATCAAGGGTCAGCTTTGAGCCCTTATTTGTTTGCTTTAGTGATGGATGAGGTCACAAGGGACATACAAGGGGACATCCTTGGTGTATGCTTTTCATGACGATGTAGTGCTGCTAGTTGATGAAAGCCGGACAGAGTGAATCGAAACTGGAGTTATGGCGGAGACTTTGGAGTCCAAAGGTTTTAGACTTAGTAGAACTAAAACCGAAGTATATGAGATGTGACTTGGCACTACTACTCTCGGGAGGAGGAAGATGTTAGTTTGGAAGGTCAAGTAGTGCCTAGGATGGATACCTTTTCGATATTTAGGATCAATGCTACAGAGAGGCGGAGATATTGATGAAGATGTTAGCCATAGAATCAAAGCGGTGGTGGATGAAGTGGCGGCAAACGTCTCTGTGTCCTATGTGACAAAAGGGTACCACGAAGCTAAAACGCAAGTTTTATAGGACGGGCGATTAGACCTGCTATATGTTGTATGGTGCGTAATGTTGGCCTCACGAAAAGATTCGACATATTCAACGGCTAAGTGTCGCGGAAATGCGTATGTTGCGTTGGATTTGCGGGCATACAAGAAGGGATCGAGTTCGAACGATGATATACGTGAGAGATTAGGGTAGCGCCAATTGAAGAAAAGCTTGTCCAACACCGGTTGAGATGGTTTGGACATGTAACGAGACCTTCAGGATGCACCGGTGCGTAGTGGAATCCTAAGTCGATAGTAACGTGAAGAGAGGCGGAGAGGAAGACCGAAGTTGACTTGGGTAGAGGCAATAAAATGAGACTTGAAAGGATGAAATATACCCAAAGACTTAGCCTTAGATAGGAATGCTTGGAAGACAGCTATTCACGTGCCTGAACCTTGATTATTTCTGTTGGGTTTCAACTCTAGCTTACCCCAACTTGTTTGGGACTTAAAGGCTTTGTTGTTGTTGTTGTTGCTGCTGCTATACAACCGCATGTGTTTTAGCACAAAAAAACGCATGGATTTTTTTTTATCTATGACGTCTAGGGCCCACATGTCATAACGAATACATAAACACCTCTGCTATCTGTGATTTGTCCTTCTATAAAAAAAATATTTCTTATGATCTTGTGATTTATGATTGTCTGGAGATAGAAGAAGGGTGGAAGTTGTTGGATCTTAATCCTATGATGCTAAAACTTTATGTGTTGGAACTGCATAAAACACATGGTTGTGTAGTAGACAGACTTGTGATCTGTGATCTTGTGATTTGTGATTGTCTGGAGATAGAAGAAGGCTGGAGGCTGGAGGTAGAAGAAGGGTGGAGACTGTTGAATCTTAATCCTATGGTGCTAAAAAATTCATGTGTTGAAATTACATAAAATACATGGTTGTGTAGTAAACATACTCTTGTTCGTCAAATTAAATCACCTTTCGGCATTCGAATTGAACAAACTCGATTCAAAGCACGTGCAAAATGCCTCAATAGCTAAAGTCTGTCAAGGAAATTGTAGTTTTTTTGGGTTATCAGATTTTTTTTTCTTTTGAGCTCGGTGCGTTGACAGTCCGGGCCGCTGACTTCGCAAAAGAGAAGCTAGCTTTGACGCACGCGATCGAGGGGGAAACAATTGGGTACGTACGCGCTGTTTACGCTAATGCGTTAGGTTCAAAAGTTACCAAACATTTTATATATTTACAGACGTTTTTTAAGCAAAGGTGGGCAGTAGTACGGTGTTTAATTATGATTTATGAACATGGCTCGCGCATGAAGCAACTGCCGCCCTTCGGTTGGAGAGATCGAACACCTTTTTCAGTCTGAAAAGGGCACTAATGCTGTTCATCACAATGCAAAGCTCTTGGACCAGAGAGAGTTTGGAAGAGATCGGTGTTTTTTTCTGCTTGTCCTCCATTTGAATTGAAAAAAGAAATGAGTTTGAAACCAATTAATTAACTGGAACGCATGCAAGCGAGAGCAGGTAGAGGTCGGTCTACAACAAATTCAACGAAGCAACCATCCGTTGGAACTGATGACAGAGCGAGGTTTCTTTCGTCTATCATTGCAACGTAACGGCAAATATTTGAATACGTCAAGTGGCAACAGAGAATTATTGGCTGAAATCTCGTGGAATAAGTAGTAATGCCAAATGAATGAATGAGCAGAGAAGATTAGCTGAAAATCTTGAATTACCAACTCCTCCCATGGATTGACCTGCTAGCTAGCTCTTGCTCATAATAAAGAATCTGGCCATCACTACCGTGATTTCTTTACTTTTAAAGGAGCCGTTGCTGCCAAGACTCCGTCTCTCAAAATAAGTTGAAATCACATGGCCGTTATTCCTTTCTTCATGGGAATCATAACTACATATTTGTGTGCTGAGTATTTGGAAAGTAGTAAGAAACAATTAATTGCATCTTCAGAGGAGCCCAGCCTTCTGCTGCATGCTAAATCCAAAGGCAATCTTTTGGAAGCACCTTTGCCCTGGTTATATATTCATCGTGCATATATAGAACATGCCATGCATGCATCTATTTTTGTGGCTGGAGTTCCCTACGTACCTGCTGCCTGCCTACTGAAACTGCAGCTACCACTGATGATGCACGGCACCAACCATGCTAGTGCTACTGCCACTACTTACAAACCACCGGCCAAAAAGCAGGACAACATACGAAGCTACGAACGCATACGAGCTATGCATAGACTGTACAGGTGCAGTGGACCGAAGGATGCTTCACTTGAAGAGCATATATATATATAAATAATGTCCGTGTACTTACGCTTGTAATTTATGCCTGGTGAGTGATGACAGAGCTAGATCACTCTCGCAAGTCGCAACTACTCGTACGTAGTCTTCAGACAGCTTTATTATTACCGACTTAAGACGATAGTATGAAGTCTTCAGACGGCTCATCGCGCTGTTACCCAAGTGAACGACAGAAAAATAGCTGGAAATCCCAAACAGGTAATGCGCGGGGACGAAGCCAGAAAAAAATTTAGGAGGACTGAACAAAAGAATAGATGTTTTTTTATCTTCTCTTAACCTTAGTTCCTCCTACCTAATACATGTATGCATAAAATTTTAAGGAAAAGTTTAAGGGCTTTACGTGCCCAGAATCGGTAGGGGGCTATAGCCCCGGCCCCACCGCTGGCTCCGTCCATGGTAATGCGAGATGAGCACAGAAAATTAATTAGTTGAAATCATGGATGATTTGACGCCCAACGTTAGCATCAGCTAGCCGACGAGCACTATATACAGCCCAAGAAAGCGATGCTTGCGCGGATAGCGTCAGAGCATTTGACGATATTGACCGCCTGGTGGCAGTGACAAACTGACAACCTGCCCTGCTGGCTGCTGCCTGCTGCCCATGTAGCAGGCTTGTTCCGGACTTCCGGGCTTCTGGCGCTCCGCTCTCCTTCCACAGAGATGGATGATGTCATAGACAAGCATGTGCATGTATGGTTGGCTGGTTCGTATCGTTGCTGGTTTGTGAAGAAATACTATTGATTAATTTGTGTGAGAGAAAAATACTATTCCGGATGGAAATTTACGATGGCTTACGACAAGCCACAGCCAAACAAACAAGCTGAACACAATAAAAAATATAGCCATCACTGTTGAGGTACTCTGAAAGGAGCCGTTGCTGGCAAGTACTGGACCAAAAGTTTCAAGATAAATGAACCATTTGAGACTCTGAGAAAGGAACAAGGCAGTATAGTGCTGCCTGTTTAACACAACTCCCAGAGCAGTTTTAAGGCCGAATTCAGGAGGAGCTATGTTAAGTAGTAGTTTTTACTTAGAAGTGATTATATGCTAATTTTGTGAAATAATTCTTTGAAATGAATTGGAAGACTTGGAGCTGAAAAAAGTAGCTTCTCTTAATTCACTCAATGCACAAAGTCACTATATACATAGATAGATAAATTTATCCTAGAGAATCATTTTCAATCATGGAGAATCAATTTTCACAAAGAATATGGAACAAGAGAAGTTTTACCAAACAAGCCCATAAAATTTGGCCCATCAAACCTTATTGATTCCATTAAAAACATGATAGCTGGCATATGAAAGGGAAAAGGAAAAAACAAGGGGCCTAGAGAAATTGGGTTGCTGGGATGTGGGAGCCAATCTTTTTGGGCATAGTGTCACAACTAACTTGCCACGCTAAACATTAGCTAACATCAGAGCACTTGCCACATGCGCTTTCGGACTACTTTCCAAAAGGAGTGCGACATACCGACTTTAAGACGGGCAATGTCGTATAGTGGAGATGACGACAACGAATATTTTCACTAGGAATAGGTGGTTGTCTTCTAATAAATTTGGTGTTTAGTTGTCGGCTATTGCTTTTTGTGTGGTTCTTTAAGAAAAAATTGTTTTTAGTTGAGTTTGATTTGTAATAATAAATGGTTATGTACATAATATATGCAGAGACTAGATTTTTTTTCTAAAAAAGTTTAACCAACATAGTTTTTATTAGTGTTTATTTAGTTGCTCCATAATTTTATTTTGCCAAAACATCTTAGATTCTCTGTAGCCGAAACAAATTCTTTGCCAATGTCCACCCTGGTACAAGCAGAACCGGCCTTAATGGGCCTCCGTTGGACTGTCTGGGCCTGCAAGAGCCCATCTACGGCGACGACTGAAGAGAGGGGGCGTCGTCGGATGGAGCAACGGCGGATGCAAAGCTGTTGCACGGCCCTGGAGTCCGTTCCCATCCTCTGTCTCGCCTCTCTTTCGGATCCTCGCGGCGACGACTGGGCGAGCGCCGCCTCCCCTCCCTCCCGCCCACCGCGAGGTCTTCGCCGGCGACGCGCTCCGCCGCCCGTTGCCACGTTTTCTCCGCCGACGAGTGCCCACCAGGTACGCCTCTGCCCCTCTCCCCTTCCCACTGTGCGGAAGCGAGCACCCCAAACCCTAATGCATGTTTATCTGTATTCGGATCTGGCCCAATTGCGAGTATACGCATGGTGCCTGCTAACTTCGAGTTTTCGCAAAAATTATCGGGTGTATACATGTCCTATACTGGGTCCGCCCCTTGCTAGCACAACGCGATTATGATTCTGGCGCGGTTAATTTTCGAGAAAAAAAAAAAATTTTTGGGGTGTCAATTCCATCCCCGCATGCTCCACGCCAAGCCTGCCTGCCATGACCGAGGTTGTTGGTTGTGGTGGCACGGGTTACTCATCTGGAATTGGGATTTTGCCCCCGGGGGACATAATTTCTGAAAACTAATCGTGTTTAGTGTGAGAGCTATGTGCTTAGCTCCTGAGAGGTAAATTTGGACAGCATGAGCCCAAAATGGGGGCACATCGGAACACGGCACTGTATGGCGGTAACCGCCACTTGACTTTTTGTTGGATAACTAGCTTTCTTATCTTACTGGAGCTGGATAGACAGACATTCCCTCTGTTCAGGTATATAAGGCGTGAGATGGCAGTTTCCGGATACCAAGAAACGCCTGCGGATACGAAGCACTCGTATTAACTCCGAGTTAGGATTAATCGCTTGGGCCGCCGGTAGTGGAGTCGATGGGATTCACCAGCCCACGTTCACGGACGCGTGTCAATCCAGCTCGTTCGCTCGAGGTTTGACGAAACAAAAAGGCGCCCATGCATGCAGTAATTAACGGAGGACGCTTCGGTTTCCATGCATCGAACGTTTTGATTCCCATACATGCAGTCTACTAGCCTTGATCTAGCGGCCTGCCTTCTATTTATGTAAAAAGCAAAAACGCGTGTACGCCTTGTATACCGGAACGTAGGGAGTAGGTTCCAGTGCCAGGCAATACTATATTTCTGCGTCAGAGCAGCATATATTTCTTCGATATATCAATATTGCCGAGCCGCTGTTATTTTTTTAGACGAAAGGCAAGCCGCTGTTCTTTCCCTTTCCATCGTGATTTTGTCGCCATCTTTTATGGTATACCCAGTTAACCACCATTCAATAGCATTTATATTATCTCTCTGAGATGTCATATTTGGCGTTTTCTGTTTTTGCTCCCTAGCTGTCGAGCGCAGATACACATCCTGTTTATCAAGTTGTTATTTGAATCTTATGTTGCCACTGGCTGGTTATCTGGCCGTGAGACACTTTTATTAAATCATACCAACTTTCAGATCCAGTGAAGGCTGACAACTTGACGCAAGGTGTTCAAGAAATTTAAGCCGTGCATTCTTCATCATAGATTCAAGGCAATATCTGTGTTAATCTTGGGGACCTCCAGTAGATTGCTGAGAGTTTTCGTTGATACAGGGGAATAAAGATACAGAGAATCTTTTGACACTGATCTGTAGCCAGTGCTGCAATGGCTACGAAGCTTGTGGTAATTTACCAACCCTCCGTTCCGTTGTAAGATTCTATACATGAATGCCACACTTGAGGGATAATGAGGATGCACAATTAATGCACCTAGGTACTCGGTATCCCCTGGGATGTTGACACTGAAGGGTTACGAGAGTACATGGCCAAGTTTGGACCCCTAGACGATTGTGTTGTCATGAAGGTTTGCCATAATTCAGTAATTCACATTTAGATTGAATGACACATGCTATACTGTTTATGTTTTCTTACCCTTAATTTTGTGTCATTACATTTCCTGAAGTACTTGATCCTTCTATTTCAATAAATAATTTGGAAAACTATTGATTATTTATTTTCTCCAAGAATAGTTGCTTAGGAATATGAAATTATGTCTGGCCATATGCCTGTGTCCTGTTAGTTATTTTTTTATCTTATAAATTTGACCGGCTTGAAGTTTACTATTTTATTTTTAATTTTGTGCTGTTCAATGACATTTTGTGCTGTTCAATGACAGTTGGTTCCTAGTTCTTTTTTTACATAGGCATGCAATATTAGCCATTTTTGTATGTTCATCTGCTGGTTGCACTATTTGATCACTATATATGCTGATTGCTACACTTATTTATGACCATGTTTCTTGCATATAAAAAATAATAGGAGCGGTCTTCTGGGCGATCTCGCGGGTTTGGCTATGTAACATTCGCCTCAGCTGACGATGCAAAGGTAGTAGAATAATGAAGATAATCCTTCATTTTCTCCATGCATGATGTTGCATGATAAATTGTGGGCATCGTTCAATCTTTAACTGGAATCCGTATGCAGCTTTTTATAGTGCCCAATTCAAATGAGTTTTCTGAATCACTGCATTATCCTTTCAGAATGTTCTTGATTGCGAGCATGTTCTTGGCAGCCGTACGTTAGAAGTGAAGATAGCTACTCCAAAGGCAAATAACATACAAAACCTTACCTTTTCTTTCTGTAATTTCCATATGGTCTGCCATTGATAAGTGTCCAGATCTACCTGGTATTGATTATGGTGTAATTTTCTCTTAACACAGGAAGAAATGAAATCACAAGGAACAAAGAAAGCTACAAGGATATTCGTTGCTCGAATTCCACAATCGGTGGACGAATCGATGTTTCGTAGGTCAGTTAGAGCATTACTACCTTTTCTTCATTATCTATATCCCTCTTGATTTGTATTGAGCTTGTCTAAACTGGACTACTTTATTAACAGGCATTTTGAAGCTTTTGGAGAAATTCTTGATCTTTACATGCCAAAGGTTAGCAAAAACTAAAACTGGTTTTGTATGGAACATTGCATCTGGTATCCTTCAAATAGCGATAGTACTGTTTCATAAGGTTCATAACACTGCTATGCTAATTGATCTCTTCGATGTTATGATCCTAGATCATAGGGGTAAACACCAACAGGAAGATAGCTGGGTGGAGTCAGCTTGGAGGGAGGCTAGACTATTGGGATTAATTCTTCATTGTTTGATTGGAAGTAGACACCTCATCTCATATCAAGAGATAAGGATTAGGGGAGAGGTTTGATGGGCTGGCCCTCTGGCCACCCATAAAATTCTTCCTATTTAATTTGCAAAATTATTAACTAAGGGGGTATTCAACAATGCCATTATTTACCTGAGCAAGTTGTGAGACATCACATCTTAATCTGGATATAACCTAAGGGCCTTTATAAATAAATCATTTGTGGTTTACATTAGTGGCCAAAGGTTTTAACATGCAATCTTAAGCATACATGTATGGTTAATACAAAGTCATTGAATGAAGTTCCTGACTTGTGTACAACAAGTTTTGGAGTCATCTTGATTTCTATAGCCTTATTGGCCTCCAACATCAGTATACCAATCTGGGACTATGGAGAGTGCCAGGAAAGATTAGGGTAGAATTTATATCAGCGTATTCTCAGCATTTTGATTAGGATAGACCTTGTACTTCTTACCAGCATTAAGATCCTAGTGCTGAAACTCTGTTTTGCATGAGTATTTTGCTCCATTGTTCTAAAAGCAATGTCGTGCAGCATTCAATGGTTATGCGGCATTACATGAGTCGGATAAATTAGAGTTGGATATGACGATGATTTTCAATGGTTATGTGGCATTACATGATTGGGATAAATTAGAGGCGGATATGACAATGATTTTACTAAAATTTGCGCTCCACACTCATATCTCCTGTGTAGGAACATGGTTCAAAAGGGCATCGTGGAATTGGGTTTATCACGTTTCAGAGTGCAGGTACGTTTACGGATGTTTTCCAACTCAATTAGATGTGAAGAGATTTTTTCGGTTGAGTTGAGGGGGTGGGGCACATCAGCCTTAACAGAAAATGGAATGGCAGACATAGCTATGATATACTAGTTGCCTTATTTTTCGCTTTAGCAATCAGGTGCCAACCAGTACAGAGTTAATGCCGTTGAGTCATTTACAACTATCCCATTCTTACTGTGAATTCTTTTTTATCTGAGGATCTATTTTTATGTTGTTATCGATTGCACTTGTAGAGAATTGTTGCACTTCTCTTTTTCTTTTGATTTTTCTTATTTTGCTTGCATTCCGTGTATTAGGATTTTGGGATAGGATTCTAGTTGTAACAGTTCTTGCTCAAGTTTTTTATTGTTATGCTCATTGTTTTTTTTAATAAAAAAGTTGGCCATATGTTCATTCTTCTGAGCCATTCTTTTGTTCGTGCGTCATTTCCTTTTTACATTATTCTAATTTTGAATTTGAATGTAATTAAATAGAGTCTGTGGACAGCATCATGCAAGAGTCACATGAGCTTGATGGTACAACAGTAGTTGTTGATCGCGCGACTCCGAAGGTACCTTACTCTTCTGAAATAGAACTTGTGTGGTCAGATCCATCTACTAGCTCCAACTAGTTTTATCTAGTGATATACTCCCCCCATTCCAAATTATTAGACATTTTGACTTTTCTAGATACATTGATTTTGCTATGCACTTAGATATACACTATGTCTATATACATATTATATAGTAAAAGCAATGTATCTAGAAAAGACAAAACATCTTATAATTTGGAAGGGAGGGAGTATTTGTGATTTTTTAGTGTATTACACTAGAATACTGTATATAGTTTATCTAGTGATATATTTGTGATTTTTTAGTGTATTGTGTTAAACTAGAATACTGGATCATTTACTATTTTAGATGCTTAGTATTTATAACTGCCTGAAAATATGTTTGCATCAGGATGAAGATGTTAGATACCCCCCGAGTAGGCCATCTCAGGGTGGCTATGGTGCATATAACGCATACATTTCAGCTGCTACCAGGTATGCAGCTTTGGGTGCACCAACGCTGTATGATCATCCTGGATCAGCTTATGGAAGTAAGTCTTCGATCTGTTATAGATTTTTTGTCAGATCTGAACACACTGAAACTTTTCTTAGTTTAGTATTTCACTGTTTGACTTCCATCAATCAGGAGGATACTATGGATCCTCTCAAGCAGTGGGCAAGAAGATATTTGTTGGTAGACTTCCACAAGAAGCAAACACAGATGACCTAAGGCATTACTTTGGCAGATTTGGTCGAATCGTAGATGCATACATTCCGAAGGTGAGGCTAAGACTTCCACTGTTTGCATGCCATAATATATTAGTTGTCTCAACTTTTCCAATTCCTGCACAGGACCCAAAAAGAAGTGGCCACCGAGGTTTTGGTTTTGTCACCTTCGCTGATGAGGGTGTGGCAGAACGGGTAGCTCGTAGAAGCCATGAAATTCTAGGCCATGAGGTAAGGCTGCTGGTGTTTGCTACATCTGTATCTACTGTAAAAAATGATAGTATTGTCCTTGTCTGGGAAAAAAAAGCTGAGTTAAGTTTTTCTGCTGTCTTTCAGGTTGCAATAGACCCAGCTGCACCACTTGAGAATGATTCAGCTGTTGGTGGTTACATTGATCCCATGGATCTTTATGGAGCTTATGGTTCAATGCGATCCTTCGGCAGGTTCTGCGGCGGTCTAGATTATAATGTAAGCACAAAAACATGTTCTCATGGCATAGTCTGATTATAAAGCACAAATGGAATTGATGATTAGGCCCCCCAAAACAGAAATCTAGGCTTAAGTTCGTCTCTTGTTGATGTGACCTTTTTCTTTTTACTCATCTTTGTCTTGTCATTTAATAACCAATCTTGTCATGTTCCAGTACGGCTATGGCCCCAGCAGCGGAAGCAGCAGATCAAGATCGGATTGGCGATACAGACCTTACTGAACGTTTTAGTTTACCTCTAGGGAAGGGAACTGAGGAGATGGAGATAAGAAATACCTGTTTAAGAATGCGAAGTGGTACCTTAAGTGGCATGTTAATCTTAAGAGGGCCGTGTGGAATCTATCAATTTGTTCATGTTGTAACTTTGGACATGGAAATGGTTCCCTGCAATTTCTTTGTCGTGATTCACATTATTGATACAAGATGAAGGCAGCCTTGTAGTTATCGTGTGGAAGTGCTGTATGTAATAAAAAGGATCATTTGCAAAAGAAGTTATAAGCGATCGACGTGCGCCCTGAATCGTCTGATCCTTCACCTCTCTACGGTTGGTTGCACATGGTAATAGCATAATTCTTTGCAAGTCGAGCATCTTTGCACCAGGTTAAAGGTGCTGCTTCGAAGTATCTCCTCCAACTTTGCCTTCTCCATCATCTCCGTGCTGGCGGTCGTGACGATGTCGTACAACACCGGGTTGCGTTACACCGGACCGGCGTCCATGACGCTGGGCTGGCTCGTTGTGGCGACCTTCAACGGCTGCGTCGCGCTGTCCATGGAGGAGGCCTGCTCCGCCTACTCAACTTAACGCGGCCTCTACTACTGGAGCGCATTGACAGAAGACTCGATCTAGGACTCAACAGTCTAGGAAGGATGAACATGAAGTCGCCTCAGAATTCTTAAATTCAAATCAATATGGAATTGAATGAATACCCACGTGTCAAATAAAAGGACAGTGCCTATGAAAGGGGAGGCCAATAGCCAACTCGAGAGGCCCAAACCCGGCTGCCCTAGGACTCTCTCCTAGGTTGGTTCAACTTGCATTTTTTACCACACATTTAAACATGCATTCCTTGGCTCTGAAACCATCAGAGAAGTTTAGTTGAAGGCGAAAACATAAGAGATAGAATAGAGAGTTCAGGGCTATGACAGCTCTGTTTTGCAGCACTACTCCAGCAGTATTTTTTAGCGAACGAACAGTTTTTTTCTCACAACAAATCAGCATAAGCATCGGCATAAGCCAAATTTCAGTGAAACAAATAGGGTATGGAGAACTCCAGAGATAAGTGCTTCAAGGTAGAGAAGAATGCTAATCATGCAATGTTCTAGTTCAATAATCAAATTAGCCTGTAGGCAGGAGCCTTAGTTTTGTCCGGTGCTTGCTAATTACCCTGTCTAATCACCCTCTAGTATTGCCCGGTGCTTGCTAATTGCCCTATGTAATCACCCTCTCGTAGTGATTTACAAGCTACAACGCTCCCACTCTTGTTGTAGACTGCTCTTTAGCTAACGATCTATTTTTATCTTGTTAACCGATTGCACTTATAGAGGTGTTACGCTTTTCTTTTTTCTTTGATTTTCTTGCATTAGGATTTGGGTTAGGATCGATTCAAGTTGTAATATGCTAGTTCTTCCAGTAGTTATTTATTGTTCTGCTCATTCTTTTTTAATAAATAAAAGTTGGTCATATGTTCATTCTGATCCAAACTGATGAACTGACGTCAATATTTGAATCGAAAATCAGACGAAGCAACCGACGAACTGAGCGTCAAGATGGAACTAACTGATGCAGCTAAGAACTTGAAATAGAATGGCAGGCTAAGCAATAATTGCAGTCACACAAAACTTTTCCTCGCTCTCTCCAATCGATAGAATAAATTTGAAAGGGATTTGTAGCACTACACTGTGACTTGTACGTGCAAGAGCGGCGAACGGGGCAGCCAGGCCATCCCTGACAAGCTCAGGCCACTGGCCACGTCCCGGCCGGTAAGGTGCTGGCGTAGGCCGGCCAGTGCCTCCTAGGCCAGACTGTAGGTGGCCAGTAGTTTGTCGCAGTCAGTGGCAGAGGCAAGTATGTGGCGAGGCTTGGCAGCCGCCATACCTAAAACATATAAAAAAATACCGAATAGTTGTAGTATATATACGTATACGTGAGTACGTGACACGTTAATGCAAGCAACAGGCAACAGGCAAGTTTGCTTCGGCCTGCCGGCCTGCACTTCTGGCCTGGTGGGCTCCGCTCCACTTGATGGGCCTCGTCGCGTCGGTTACCAGCCATAAGCCCAGAACGGAGCACTGAGGGAAGCTAGTTAGGGATCGACTCGTAGCTCGTCTGCTCGTTTGCCTCTCCGTCTCTTCCTATTCTAAATCTAAATCATCAGGCATCAGGAGTTCAGGACGTAGATGCTGTGGCCGGCGGACGGCAGACGGCGGCGTGACGACTCAACGCGGTGGCCGGCGCCGGGCGGACGGCGGCACGACTGCACGAGCGGACGAGTCCTGATCGCCTGCAACTGCAACTGCAAGTGCAACGATATGGCACCAAAGAAGAAGAGTTGATATGTGATGAAAGGTATTTTTTATTTCAGAAATTAGAAATCTAAAAAGTCTATCTGTACCTAAATAAAGCTTTATTATAGGTATGTATTTGTTCCAATAATCTTCATTTAGTGAGCTATTTTAAGTGACAATGCTTTACTTTTGGATTTCTGCTATATTTGCTCATCACAAGTAATATATATATTTAGATAATGTTATGGTACATTCTTACATAATTAATAGTTACATTATACATGTTTGCCAATTGACCTTTATAAACTCGTCGCACTTTCAAATATTCCTGCCTACTCGCAGTTGTCCAGGGGCCGTCAATAGGCGGCGAGGTGACAATTGTCCTCTTCTCCATCTGAAATTTTTGTACTTTGAATGATTTTTCTGCTTGTGCAGTGCACATGTGTCAGCTTCTTGTGTACGGAGTATTCAGAAAGGAAAAAGCTCCCTGCTGTTGTGCAGTGCACATGATTCATTTATGAGTTGGTCTTTGATACGAGACTATTGCTTTAGGCGGTGTTTAAATCAAGATGCTAAATTTTAGAGGCGTTATATTTTGTATCACATCGGGTGTTATATGGAGGTGTTATATGAGAGTGTTCAGATAGTAATAATAAAATAAATTACAGAAGTCATCAGGAATCCACGAGATGAATTTATTAAGCCTAATTAATTAGTCATTAGCACATGTGTTACTGTAGCACCACATTGTCAAATAATGGACTAATTAGGCTTAAAAATTTGTCTCGCAAATTAGTTGCAATCTGTGTAATTAATTATTTTTTAGTCTATATTTAATACTTCATGCATGTGTCTAAATATCCGATGTAATAGGGACTAAATTTTAGGAAGAGAAACTAAACAAGGCCTTAGTGTACTCCTATTTAGAAAGGAAAGAAAAATGCCCAGCTGTTGCGAATTAATTTCATGGCTCTTGGTAGTAGCTTTAGAACACATCATTTAGGTAGGGCGTGTTAGACCTTTCTCAGAGAAATCTCATGTTCCTAGAGCTAGAGCTAAACTGCGTATCAAATAGGGCCACTTGCTCGAAGAACTCTACAGTAATGTTGCTCCATGGCAGAGTTGGTGGAGCAAAGTAAAAAAAACTAGAGCAGAGCAATACCAAACAGGCACGAACACATGATGCAAAATAAATATTATTAGATTTGTCATAAAATATACTTTGGTAACAAACTGGTTTAGAGATATAAAAGTGCATAATATTTATTATAAATTTAGTTAAATTTGAACAGCTTTAACAGAGAGGAATATTATTCTGTGGACGGAGGGATGGATTACAACCTTTCTTCGCTCTCCAATCGATGAATATATTTGGAAGGGAATTGTAGCACTGCACTGTGACGTGCGTGCAAGAACGGGCCAGCCGTGCGACAATTCCACAGTTGCGGCCATTCTTTTGACTTTGACTCCCTTGTAATAAGGATTAAGGAGAAGAAGCCTACGGATATTTATTGCCATGCGATGCTGTCAGTATCAAGTAGCCAGCAAGCTGCACTCTGCAGCACCGTTTGGAGGAAACGACGCACGCAGACAGAGACCGCACGTCGGCGATGTCTCCCCGCCGCTCCTCCGCCGGCGGCGAGCTGCCCGTCGCCGACAGAGACCAAACCCGGCTGCAGCAGCTGGGATACAAGCAGGAGCTCAAGCGCGGCCTCTCGTACGTTCCGCGTGCCATTTCCAATTCCAAGCACCTCCAGCATTTTTCTTGCCAGCTGCTCTCACTCTCAGTGTTTTACCTCTGCGTAGCGTCCTCTCCAACTTCGCCTTCTCCTTCTCCATGATCTCCGTGCTGGCGGGCGTGACGACGACCTACAACACCGGGCTGCGCTACGGCGGGCCGGCGTCCATGACGCTGGGCTGGCTCGTCGTGGCGCTCTTCAACGGCTGCGTCGCCCTGTCCATGGCGGAGATCTGCTCGGCGTACCCGACCACCGGCGGCCTCTACTACTGGAGCGCCAAGCTCGCCGGCAAGGACTGGGCTCCCCTTGCCTCCTGGGTCACCGGATGGTACGTACATGCTGCTTCCGTTTTTTTCCCCTCTTCATTAATTTTTGGATTAAAAAATGTCTTTCGCTTTATTCATGTCAGTGTCATATAATAACTCGCGGAGTAGAAAAATTTCGAGGACGACGTTTTTCAAACCATCATTCTGCCGGTCTATCTAGTTACCGTATTTTTAATCTTTGTGTCATGTTTCGCAGGTTTAACATCGTGGGCCAGGTACGCTTTAACTTCGTCACAAAATCCATCATATCATGAATTATACACGCCTGCTAACCTTAGACTTTTCCTATAAGCTTTTATTTATAATACTCAAAGACACTATATATATATAGTACTGGTCTACTGCTGTCTGTGACCGCTAGCTAGCTGATTTATATCATAGGTAGCCAGCCAACTTGGACTTGGACACAGTTCAGTTTGGACTGTAACAACTGACAAAGACACTGTAAAAAATACTGACCATTCAGTTACTTTTTTTTACAAAGATGATCATTCAATTTGACCGGTCGCTCTAAAAGTACTACTAGCGTATTTCATTTTATTGGGACAATTTTTTGACCAACAATATATTTATTAATAACACATGTTTTTTTACAGAATTGATGTGATTAGATTCATATTGAAAAATACCTACGATTATGATTTTTATTACATATAAGTGGCACTAATAGTCTAATAGAGTAAATGCCGACCAAATTGTTTAAATGATTCAGAAATAAAAGTGTCCCCTAACGAAACGAAATACGCCTACTATAACTTGAAACAGAGAGGCTGTCTTTTTTTTAACGATGAAAGGTTGCTTCCAAAAATGGGCAGCTAAGATTTGGCGACGCAGGGCCTGTTCGCTTGTTTGAATTTTGGAGGAATCTGGATGGTTTAGAGGAATGCTAGAGGAATTTGTGAGAGAAAAACACTGTTTCGGATGAAAAAATAAGCGGATCAAACCGGATTTAAAGGCACGCGAACGGAGCCGCAGTCAGTAGCGTGCCATGACAGCAGTCAGCTACTTCTGTTCAGCACTACTTTTCAAGCCATGAAACAGTATTTTACTGTTACAACATTTATCAGCATAAGCGAACAGGTGATTCCAACCAGAGTTGAATTGAACCGTCGTCCCTAGCTAGCTAGCTCTGGCTGCTACTAGTGCGTCCTACTCATCCATACCTGCATGTCAGATTGGGCTTGGAGCACATTAAATCAGGACATGAGCTGAAGCCGATCGATTGACGCTCAGCTAATCTTTCATTTTGCACAGTGGGCTTGCACCACGAGCGTGGACTTCTCATTGGCACAGTTTATCCAAGTCATCGTCTTGCTTAGCACCGGGGGAGCCAATGGCGGTGGTTATCTGGCCTCCAAATACGTCGTGCTTGCCATCTACTTTGTCATCCTCATCCTGCACGGGCTTATCAACAGCCTCTCCATCAATTGGCTGGCCTTTTTCGGCCAACTTGGAGCTTTCTGGAATCTTGCAGGTATGTATGTGAAGGATCCAATGTCATTTTCACATCAATCCCATTATTTGAGTTCTGTATGGTCTGATCATGTATTGATTCGCACAAACACAATGGTTTTACCTAGATTAATTGGTGATGTGATCATATCGTCGTAGGTGTATTTGTCTTGACGGTATTGGTTCCGGTTGTTGCTAAGGAGAGGGCAAGCATGGAGTTTATGTTTACCCACTGCTACACTGACGATACCGTGGGGATCCACAGCAAGGTCTACATACTAGGCATCGGCTTGCTAACAAGCCAATATTCCCTCCTCGGATACGACATTTCTGCCCACATGGTAAATCTCTCTGTTCCATTACACACAAAAACTTCTGAATGTGAAAAACCAATGGGTTTGATATGATGCTTGTGTTTACAAATATATATATGTGCAGTCAGAGGAGACGAAGAATGCAGAGTGGAGTGGCCCAATGGGGATCGTGGTTTCAGTCGCGCTATCGAGCGCCTTCGGATGGATTTACCTGGTGGCCCTGACATCGATGGTGACCGACATCCCGTCCCTCCTGGACCCAACCAACGACGCCGGCGGGAACGCCATCGCGCAAGCCCTGTACACCACCTTCCGCCAGAGGTTCGGCAGCGGCGGCGGCGTCGTCGGGGCGTCCTGTGCCTGGCGGCCATGGCCGTCGCCATATTCCTCTGCGGCACGGCGTCCGTGACCAGCAACTCCAGGATGGGGTACGCCTTCTCCAGGGACGGCGCGATGCCGCTATCGCGGGTGTGGTACCGTGTGAACAAGCAGGAGGTGCCCTTCAACGTCGTCTGGCTCTCTGTCTCGGTGGCATTCGTCATGGCACTCACGGTGAGTATGTATACATGCATGCATGTGCGATGATGATCTAGCTCATCTCAGTCTCCGAAATGTAACTGCATGCATGCATGTCGTGGCAGTCGCTGGGGAGCCAGGTGGCGTTCCAGGCAATGGTGTCCATCGCGACGCTGGGCATGTACATCGCCTACGCCCTGCCCATCTTCTTCCGGGTGACGACGGCGCGGAACTCGTTCGTCCCGGGGCCGTTTCATCTCGGACGCTACAGCCTTGTCGTCGGCTGGGTCGCCGTCCTCTGGGTGGCCCTTGTCACCGCGCTGTTCTGCTTGCCGGTGGCGTACCCTGTCGCCGGGGTGAACTTCAACTACACGCCGGTGGCCGTCGGCGGCGTACTGCTTCTCAGCCTTGGTGCGTGGGTGCTCCATGCCCGGTTTTGGTTTCGAGGGCCTGTTACCACCATTGACGCGTGAGAGGGCCCTGATATAGTGATATGCTCTGTTTCAATATGTACAGCTATCACTCTGCTTTTTTTTTTTTAATAATGATAATGATCCTCCAAAAAGAGTGGCTCATGTATATATAGATTTGTCGACGAAAGTAATCGATACTATAAAAGTTGGATTCACCACCACTGTGTCGATATCGCCAGCAAATCAAACCCTAAACAAAACAAGTGGCGACAAAAAATTAAATCTATGAAAAGAAACGGGTTCTTCTAGTCTAAAAAAGAATGTTAATAATCTCTCTCGCGTGTTGTTGTTCCATGGATTCAAAACCAATCCCCCTTGGCCTGTGGACCTTGGGCCCGATATGGATTCGGCCCATTAACGTAGTACACACGGCCCTAGCTAGGACTGACGTGTGCGATCATGCATCGTCCATTTTATAGCTATTATTACGGCAAATGACAGCCATCGTGACAGTACGGCTAGTAGTCAAACTACTACTAATAGTCATGCACCGCTGCTGTCAAAGGATGCCGAATCAACGGAAAGGGACATGCCGGTTGCCGGGACAGCTAGCGTATCCGTCCTGATTTCCAGTCTTCTCTGCTGACTCCTTGTGCATCATGGAGACTTGTATAGGTTTCCGATAATAATTGTTCTGTTTGTTTGGCTGATAAGTCATATTTGAAAGTACTGTTAATTGATTTGTTGTACGGAAAAATACTATTTATTGACTTAAAAAAGTATGGCTTAAAAGCTAAGTTAACAGAGGGAATAAGCTTACCACCCCTGACCCGTCAACCGGCCGGCCGAGCTGAGAGAGTCTTTTCATTCAGTAGCTGTAGGCTGTAGCGCGCACGCCCGGCCCCCGGAGGGATCGGAGCAAAGTGCGCAGCGCCGGCGATGGGCACCGTCGGTGGCGAGCTGCCCCTCGCCGACCCGGCCGCCGACGCAGACCAGGCGCGGCTGCAGCAGCTGGGATACAGGCAGGAGCTCAAGCGCGGCCTCTCGTACGTGCGCGCTGCCGCCGGTGGTGCCGGTTCAGCTCCAGCTCGTTCGTCCGTTCTTTGTCGCCGCAGCTAGCTAGTTCTGATCGAGCTCCGTTTCTTGTATGTATTTTCTAGCGTCGTCTCCAACTTCGCCTTCTCCTTCGCTATCATCTCCGTGCTGACGGGCGTGACGACGACGTACAACACCGGGCTGCGCTACGGCGGGCCGGCGTCCATGACGCTGGGCTGGCTCGTCGTGGCGCTCTTCAACGGCTGCGTGGCGCTGTCCATGGCGGAGATCTGCTCGGCGTACCCAACCTCCGGCGGCCTCTACTACTGGAGCGCCAAGCTCGCCGGCAAGGAATGGGCTCCACTTGCCTCCTGGGTCACCGGATGGTACCGTACCTTCTCTCCTTCTCTTCACAATCTTTTTATAAACAATCATCAAATGTACTACTACAACTTTTTTTTAGATGGAATATACTACTACAACTTGGCTCTCGCCGCAATCTCGAGGCCAAATAGCAACAAACCATCAGATCCGTTTAAACAAAAGAATACAACAAAACCATCAGATTCAGAAATGCTTCCGATGGGTCCTCCTATTGTTTGAAACTTAACCGTCCTGTTTAATTCTGTTGTTTTCACCATGATGCCAAGGATGATGACATGGCGTCTTCCCAATCATGTCACGGGTAGTCTAATCAAGTTTTATTCATACTTATCTTCTGTCCTGTTCTGCAGGTTCAACATCGTGGGGCAGGTACATAACAGTCTCCAGCTACTCTCCAACTTCACAGGATCAGAAGTCACAAAAAAAAGATCAAAGAATCTTCTTCTTTTTTTCTTTTCTTTTTTCTTATTTGCAAAGAGGATCAGTAATCTTTGGAGGTCGGTCTGATCTCATCAGCTGCATCTGCAGTGCAGTGCAGGCATTAGTAGTGTACTGGTGTCATCTGATCTCATCAGGATTCTGATTAAATCGACGTGCAGTGGGCGTGCACCGCGAGCGTGGACTTCTCGCTGGCGCAGCTGATCCAGGTGATCATCCTGCTGGGCACCGGCGGGGCCAACGGCGGCGGCTACCTGGCCTCCAAGTACGTCGTGCTGGCCATCTACACCGCCATCCTCGTCGTGCACGGCCTCATCAACAGCCTGTCCATCCAGTGGCTCTCCTGGTTCGGCCAGCTCGGAGCCTTCTGGAACGTCGCTGGTGTGTTCGTCCTCGTGATCCTCGTCCCGTCGGTGGCCAAGGAGAGGGCGAGCGCCGAGTTCATCTTCACCCACATGAACACCGACAATGGCATGGGCATCCACAGCAAGGCCTACATCCTCGCCGTCGGGCTGCTCATGAGCCAGTACTCCAGCATCGGCTACGACACCTCTGCTCACATGGTGAACACTGAACACGCCGTCGTGGACGCCGCCGGCCGGCCAGCCGGCCACCACACGTTCATCCATTTTTCTCCGATGACCATCTGAACTGAACGAGCACGATCGCATGCAGACGGAGGAGACGAAGAAGGCGGACTGGAACGGGCCGATGGGAATCGTCTACTCCGTCGCTCTGTCCAGCGTGTTCGGGTGGATTTACCTGCTGGCTCTGACGTCGGTGGTGACCGACATTCCGTACCTGCTGGACACCGGCAACGACGCCGGCGGGTACGCCATTGCCCAGGCGCTGTACGCCACCTTCCACCGGAGGTACGGCACCGGCGCCGGCGGCATCGCCTGCTTGGTCATCATCGCCGTCGCCGTCTTCCTCTGCGGCACCGCCTGCGTCACCAGCAACTCCAGGATGGGGTATGCCTTCTCCAGGGATGGGGCGATGCCATTCTCGCATGTTTGGTACCGGGTGAACAAGCAGGAGGTGCCCTTCAACGTCGTCTGGCTCTCCGTGTCCGTGGCGTTCGTCATGGCCCTCACGGTGTGCATGCGCTCTCATCTCTCAACTTCTCAAGTACGTGTCTGCCATGCATGTGACGGTGATTCTCTTCATTCCTGATCGACACGTGCAGTCGCTGGGGAGCCAGGTGGCGTTCCAGGCCATGGTGTCCATCGCGACGCTGGGTCTGTACATCGCCTACGCGCTGCCCATCTTCTTCCGCGTGACGACGGCGAGGAGGTCGTTCGTGCCAGGGCCGTTCCACCTCGGGAGATTCGGCGTCGCCGTCGGCTCGGTGGCCGTGCTCTGGGTGGCGCTCGTCACCGTGCTCTTCTGCCTGCCGGTGGCGTACCCCGTCACCAAGGAGACCTTGAACTACACGCCGGTGGCCGTCGGCGGCGTGCTGGTGCTCAGCCTCGCCGCGTGGGTGCTCCACGCCCGGTTCTGGTTCCGAGGGCCTATCACAAACGTCTGACCTTGTTTGCAGGCTTCGATAGTTGCTTTCAATGCATGCAGATCAGCTCTGTTCTAAGTATGAATATGAATATATACTATATACAGAGCAGCTCACTTTGAGCATAGTTTTATTTCTCGTCTTGGATACAGATACAGAGTTCAAAGTCAAAGAGCCTGCTCGCTGCAGCTGCTTCTTCAGCCCTCTACCAAGTAGTGTAGTAAGAACCGGAAACGCTGCAGCTTCAAGGTGCAGTAAACAGGCCCAAAATAACCGTAGCATTGTAATTTGTTATCATTATATCTATAACAATGGGTCTAAAGGAGGTACGTAGTTCTAGTCCTGGATATAGAGTCCAAGTTATTATTATATACTTCTATCTTCATGATAGTATTATTTTCTCTCTATTCTTTAATTCCACATCAAGTCAGAAAAAAAATCCTACATACCGGCCATTTTACTTCTGTGATACTGCGGCACATTAGAAATATCCTAGCCCTTAGGTTTCGTCATTTGGTGATTCTGGGCTACGATCTGATCTCTCTAGCTCTCCCTGGTGGTGATGAACCCCGCCGCCCCCCCCCCCCCACCACCACCACCACACACACACACACACAAAATGCACTTCTACATTATTTAAATTTTAACTGTAAATTTATATAAAAATAGTATCAACTGTTATAATTCTAAATAATATATTTTCTATAACGAGACTAATAATATTTATTTGATATCATAAATATTAATATATAAAATTTTGATTAAATTGAAGATGGTCTACCTTAGCAATGTAGTTAGAAGTACACTATTTTTAGGACGGAGGAAGTATATGATTATGAGTACGTTGTGGAATTACGTTATCATTGATTTGTTTCATTCCATATTTTTTTTCAAGGCCTACCTATTGTACACAATTTTTTTTTTCAAGTGTCTCTTCGGTGTCTGGTACTCAATTTTGCTAGTCATCTTTGTGCGGACCATCTTTTGTTAGTTGTTATATAATGGATAAAACTTTCTGCGCCACTATTTTTAGTACCGCCTCTCTAGTAGTAGATACTAGCTAGGGGCGTGCTTTGGTAGATTTGCTTGCTTGAGCAAGCTTGGCCTTGTCCAGCCGAGTGGGCCAATTTGGCTCTCCTACTCTAGCAAGTGTAATCTTGCTATGCACAGGTATCGAGGCGACCTTGCTCAATAATCAAACAGGTTAGCTGTTTGGTGTTCGGCTTCCTAGCTCAGCGAGACAACACAGTGATGGGCAAACAAACCAAGCACACTCTATATTCCTCTTCAAACTTCTTGTTAGTACTGTGGTTGGTCCAGAAGTGGGAGGAAGCAAGCAAGAGATGGACTTCCAGAGTTCCACACACGAGTGGCAAGGTCCACAGAGAGATGCGTCCACCTTCAGCCCAAACCGGGTTAACATGATCCGCTGCGTGTATAGCTGGCAAGGAGTGAGTGGTGTATGTGTTTTGTTTTGCTTTCCGCTATATCAATACTCTCTCCGTCCCATGAAGAATGTCATTCTCATTTCTTAAAAAGTCAAATATTTTAAGATTTGATTAATTATATATAAAAGAATATTAATATTTAAATTACATAATTAGTATCATTAGATGGATCACTAAACATATTTTCATAATAAATTTATTTAATGATATAAATGCTGCTAATATTTTCTATAAAGCTAGAAAAAGTTGAGGAAATTTGACCAGTACGTATCCTATAGTGTCATTCTTTCAGGACTAGAAGAGTATATACGATATCTGCAGGGGCGGATCCAGAACGGGGCTGCGCCCCGGGCTGAGCTGCTGATTCACGTTCAAAAAAGCCTGATCTTGCTTCCTAGGCCTCCTTTTGTCTAATTAAGATAATAGTTTTTTAAGCTCAACACCACATATGTTAAAGGGGCTACATGGACTTGCCCCGGGCTGCAGCCCGGGCAGCCCGGGCCCTGGATCCGCCCCTGGATATCTGTGACTGCAATGAAAGGAAGGGTATCCGAAAATGTCAATGGTTGTAAACTAACTCATAAATCCTGAACAGTGTTATTGTTCATGTCTATGCTCCTTGCCTAATCCTGTGCTGCCGATCCCAAATTCTATTCTCTGTTCCTATCCCCACTACTTTTAGGCTTCAGCTAATTAACACTTCTATAGTTACTTGTATAATCGTGGGTTGTTGTCTTGTTGAACTGGTATAGTAAAAGGACAGCGTGCATGTATGTATATCAGTATATGTATATCGAGGCGAAGAGTCAGCTACCAGTAGCCTAAACCCTTTTGAGGCAGAAATTGCGGTTCAGACAGAAGCGATGGAATCCCAGAACACCGCGACACGTACGCCGGAGCGGCGCAACCATGGGCGATTTCCACGGCATGTGTTGACCCCTGGTGCATTCTAAGATTAAACTGTAACAAGCTCACTACCAAGCGGCATTGACCCTTTCAACTAGAGACTTAGACAGAGTAGTATAAGCGAGGTGATAGCAGCGACCTAGCTGCAGGCTGCAGCTATAGCTAGCCGGCCGGCCCCGGGCGGCAGACGACGGAGCACGCAGCAAGAACAGAGCGGAGAACGACGTACGGCCATGGCGCTGGCGCCGCGCCGCTCCGTCGCCGACCCGGACAGGGCCCGGTTGCATCAGCTTGGATACAAGCAGGAGCTCAAGCGCGGCCTCTCGTAATCGCTCACTCCGTCCTCCAATCAATTCGATTCCAATTCCCATGCATGCATGCAATTTCTTCTGTTTGGGTTTCTTATATAGTACTAGTGTAGTGTGGTCTCCAACTTCGCCTTCTCCTTCGCCATCATCTCCGTGCTGACGGGCGTGACGACAACCTACAACACCGGCCTCCGCTACGGCGGGCCGGCGTCCATGACGCTGGGCTGGCTCGTCGTGGCGACCTTCAACGGCTGCGTGGCGCTGTCCATATATGGCGGAGATCTGCTCCGCCTACCCGACCTCCGGCGGCCTCTACTACTGGAGCGCCAAGCTCGCCGGCAAGAACTGGGCCTCGCTGGCTTCCTGGGTCACCTGATGGTACGTACGCCGTCGTCGTGTAGTATTATCGTATCTTTGCCGCTTTCCCTTCTCTCTTGCGTATCTTTCTTGTTGACGTTCCGTGTGGCGTCTTGAAATAAATGTCGTCCTTGCTTTCATTTCATGTCAAAAAGAAGGGGAAAAAAATCTCTGCGACTACTGACCGTTTAGAATTTTCCGAGTGCGTGCGTCAGTACGTGCACGACGAACTCGTTCAGTTTTCCAGCCGTACACACACATATATAGCTAGTTTTCTTCAATTCTCGGACAGATGTTCTTGTGACAATTAACAACCAAGCATAGCATAAGAATCTTCTTTTATATATATACATAAAAGAAACCCAAGTGTAAGAAGTAAGATATTGACCGAACGAGCACTACATATAACACTTACTCTACGCTTGATCTGCTACAAACTGTATATGAAGAGAAAGCAAGCTAACAGGCGAAACACGTGAATGAAATTGATGAGCTTAGTCTTTTGTTCTGTTTTGCAGGTTCAACATCGTGGGACAGGTATGGTATATGCATGCATGTGTGGCTCGTTTGATCCATGAAGTTTAGTGTTACTCGTTTGCACTTGCACCTCATCAAAATATTCTAGATCCATGAATTAATCATCAGTATCGCCGTGCATGCATGCATGGACATCACGGAATCGCAGCATGCATCATGTGGCTTGAGTATGGGCTAGTAGCGGCTCGATCTCTCATCAGTCATCAGTCATCAGTCATCAGTCAACTATATATATATAAACAACTTGGTCAATTAACAGTGGGCAGGTACGATGAGCATCGACTTCTCGTTGGCTCAGCTTGTCCAGGTGATCATCCTGCTCGGCACCGGGGGAGCCAACGGCGGTGGCTACATGGCCTCCAAGTACGTCCTGGTCGCCATCTACGGCGTCATCCTCATCCTGCACGGCCTCATCAACTGCCTCCCCATCCACTGGCTCTCATGGTTTGGTCACCTAGGGGTCTTCTGGAATACAGCAGGTATATATCTGCAGCTGCAGGGGGATGAATTCAAGAGTCTGATCACTCAGTTTTATCAAAAGAGAGAGAGAGAGAGTCTGATCACTCCAATGCATGCTTTGATTGCATGGATTGTGCATGCTATGTATGTAGGTGTCTTCGTCATGGTGATCTTGCTTCCAGCGGTCGCCAAGGAGAGAGCGAGCGTGGAGTTCATCTTCACCCACTTCAACACAGAGAACGGCATGGGAATCCACGACAAGGCATACATTCTCTTCGTTGGGTTGCTCATGAGCCAGTACTCCCTCCTCGGCTACGACACATCTGCTCACATGGTAATAAATATATACATATCCTCAAATCCAAACAAATTAAACTGGATTCTGAGCATTATTTATTCTGATAACATGCAACCACGCACGCATTCAGTCAGAGGAAACGAAGGGCGCGGACCGGAGCGGGTCGATCGGGATCGTGACCTCGGTTTGTCATATTCTTTAGATCCGTCTAGGTGTAGATTCAGTGGGTGTTTACTTGTATTTGGGATAATCAGTGACTTAGAGATTCAGAGGGAGTAGGAGAGAGAGAGAGAGAGGGAAACGTAGGAACATCTGACCGTCGGAGGGGTTGGAGGAGCTCCCTGCCTTCGCTGGTTCGCCGGTGATGATCTGCGCTAGGGCAGCGACGGGCTATGAAGTAGCGGTGGAGACCGGCTGTGGTGGTAAAGGCAGTGGCGCTTCCCGCCGCTGGCAGTGCCACCCTCTGGATCGGATTAGGGTTAGGACCGTGGGGCTGTGGCGGCGGTGAACCTCGTACCGAGAGCCGTTTGCCCCACCTCGTCTTTATAGGCACTGTGCGACGGGGGCCCACTAGCCACTAGATGACTGGACGTCCCCGATCAGGACGCAGTCAAAGGGTCCGTCTCGACCGTTGGGTCAAGACGGATGAGATCAATTCTAACATTCTCCCCCTTGATCTCAACTCATACTTTAACTTTAAACTTTGACTTTAATCCCTTTCACTTTTATTTGTTCCATCACAGATTAGTGCATAGAGCATGCTTCATCGTCACGGTCAATCGCCGATAGACTTAACAGCTACAATACACATCTCTGTTCTGAAACAGATTCTTTAACTTTGGGCCCTTTATTGTCCGAAAATCATAGGCTATACCATAAACCCATGTCGACTGTGTGTTATCTAAACACACTGGGTGGTAAGCCTTTTGTACGTGGATCCGCAAGCACTTGCTTGTTACTTTTATATTCAATACTTTTAGTATGATTCTGGACTTTCTCCTTCACAACGTATAACTTTAACGTCAATGTGTTTGGCAGCACACTTGACCCGTTGTTATAGGAGCGATCTACTTAAATGGTTATTGCTGTTGTATACCATTATTAATTCCGGGTGTAAGTTCTTTTAACCATTTCGCCTGTCCTTTAAGCCTCATATCAAGCTATACTGTGGGTATGCATCTTTGATGATACCACAACTGTTTCTTTGGAACTTTTTCATAATAAAACTCCAACTACGAGTGTTAGCTACTATGTTGGTTTCACTAAACATCTCGCCAAAATTTAACATTTGTACCCACAACTATTTGAGAGTACTTATTCTTTCTTACTCACCATGAGGCCTATAAATCTTTGCACAATTGTAAAACATTCTCAACTCTATTCCAGTGATCTATATCTGGACTGGATTTCTGCCAAAACATCCTGGATACATAAACTATGTCAGGGTAAGTTCTTACTTATAAGCATTCATTAAGCTTTCAACAGCTGAAGCATATAGGACGTCCTTTTGATCGATCTCACATTCGTTCTTGGAACACCGAAAGTTCCGAAAACTATTAGCCTTTACTATAGAAACAGGCGCAAGTTTACTCACATATATACTTTATTTCTTTAGAATCTTCTCTAAGTATACATTTGAGATAGTTCTAATACCCCTTTTTCTTTTGTCTCGGTAAGTTCCAATTCCTGGAACGAATGACGCTTTACCAAGATCATTCTCATTGAAATTTGAGGACAAGAACTGTTTCTTCTCCAATAGTAGATTAACACCACTACTAGCGAGTAAGGTGCTACCCACATGCAGGATTAGGAAAATAAATTTCCCATGTATAAACTTTGCATAAATATAATTGTCCTCTACATTCTCTTTAAAACCCAAACTTTCTTATTGTACTGTCAAACTTTAAGTACCAATGTCTTAAAGCTTAATTTGATCCATAAATGGATTTCTTCAGGCAATATTCCTTACATTCTTTTCCTTCCACGACAAAACCTTTTGAGTTATGCCATGTAAACTTTTCCATACAAATCCCCGTTGAGGAATGTGCCTTTATATCTTTCTGATGTAACTGTAAATCGTAATGTGCCACTAACACCATTATGATTCTAAAAGAATCATTGCTTGCTCATTATAATCTATTCCTTCTCTTTGTGTAAATTATTTCACCACAAGTGGCGGTTTATAGCTTTCAATATTCCCTTTGGATATCTTTCTATATTCCCTTTGGAGTCATCTTTGTCTTGTAGACCCATTACAGCCTATTGTTTTGGCTCCATTAGGAATTTCTTCTAAGTCCCAAACATCGTTGGTGTTTATCGATTTTATTTCATCTTCCTTTGCTTCTTGCCATTTAGACGAGTGAACGCCTCTCATGGCTTTTCAAATGAGGTGGAATTACCCTCTATTTGAATTTCTTTCTTAACATTGACTTCTTAGTCACCAGAAATATCTGATTTTCTTATTCTTTGAGACCTTCTGGGGCCTCGTGGCACTTCTTTCATATGGGGCTATTGTTACTATTTATTGCCAAAAGGCAAATGTTCTATAGCCTCCTGTATCAAGATCCTTGTTTACTTATTCATCTTCTTTAAGTGCTAACATCAGTTGTTGTATATGTCATACAACATCAACATGTATTAAGTAATTTGTTGCTCTAAAACACTGTAGTGGATATGTAATCCCACTTCTATTCAAGCTTTAGGTATTTACATATCAAGCTCCCCCAGATTACTCCATCTTCTGTAAATATGGTGTATCTTCAAATTTGTTATTTTCGGTTTAATCCGCTAAAAAACTCATATGGTGCGTTTAGCACCGCCTTGATAACTCTGAACTCGTCCAATATAAATACTAGCCGGCTATGCTATCTTCCTATCGGAACTGTAAAAGGTCCAGGAATTTAGCTATTTCTTTACTTTAGGGGTATCGTTATTATGACCGTCTTACTCCCTCAACTTACTCCCTCAACGATCATATTCATCTTTTATAGATCACTTTTACCTTCAATGCATAGTATGCATTTCATTATCTGAAGTATGGGGAAGTATCTTTCTTAATTGTCTTTCTTAATTAATCTTATATTTCTCCCCCTCGAAATGTGGTATGAACTTTTCTACCACAATTTCGAAACATTCTGAACTCTTGTGAATGAGGAAACTTTGATTACTTACTTCATCCACATGATTACATCATGCAAACAAAATTCATATGGGAGTACATTTTCCTCATTTCACTTCAAAAACTCAACATAGTCTATTATTTTCAATACTTCTGCAAGTCACGCTTGCATATCATTCTTATCTTTTGGTTCACATGCAACTTTCTTTTGTTCTTAAACTCATTGACTACTTAATGACCATGACACAATCAGAGTGTACGGTCAATACTAGGATAGCATAAGAGCTAACCAAACTTCTCTCCATGTGCGGAATACACTTAGAGCACATGAGTCATCATATCCTTCTCCCGCCATGCGGGATAAGTACTATGCCAAACTCTCCCGCCATGCCGGATTGGTTAACATATGTACTATGCCAACTTTACCCCATCATGCGGGTATTTTCTCAAACTTTTCCCGCCATGCGGGTACTATCACAAACTTTTCCCGCCATGCGAGATAATTCCCTTGAACGGATATAATTGTCAGGATTGGCTCGTGTTCAATCATCAAATTCAGAAATAAATCCGAATATTCTTTTAACACACATGTTTAATCAATGTTAGTCAAATTAAACATGTATATGACTTTTACAACTCTCATAAGTGAAACTGAAAATAAATTCTTCTTCACAGAGAGTACATAAAAGACATTTCTCAATGAAGACTCTCATTGATCTCTCTCTTTTCTTGGATTGATATCTTAGAATTCTTTTCTTTTGAAGCCATTCTTTAAAGAGAACACAATTCCTTAAGGAATGGCATTCTTTCATACATAACTTGCCCTTAGGCATTTTATCATCTGAGTTATAAGTACCCAGCTCATTTCTCTTACTGCCTTCAAGAATGAAAACATGGAAGTCTTTTGTCTGAAAAAATATTCAACAATAATACTCATTAAACTTTGAAATCTTTATGTTCTATTATATATCATCGTTGGGCAGAAATAGAATAAAACATCATTTTTCTACATTAATTCCACATCACCGTTGGGCAGAAATGGAATTAACATATAGAAATTCAATAATCTTGAAAAACATAGAACTGCTCCTCAAAATTAAATTCTCCCATTGGTTCGAATTTAATTAGAAAACAATCAACTTCATTTCAGCGGAAACATAAAAATACATTTCTCTAGTTTAAGAGCATTCCTTGATCTTTATCTATTCTCTGAAAATTGGTCATTTTGATGCAAAATTTATCAGAGATTTAAACTTTTAATCATGAAACTCATAAAATTATAATATTGTTATCATCAACGTTGGTCAGAAAATAACGATACCATAATTTAACTTTAAACTTAAACTCATAAATAAACTTATAATATTGTTATCATCAACGTTGGTCAGAAAATGACAATATTATAATTTATCTTAACTATCAACCGACTATTCCTCCAATTAAAAATTTTCCAGCTGGTTCCAATTTTAACTGGAGGATAAACTTTTCATCATTTACTGAATAACTATAACTGCTCTTCAAATTAGAAGATAATAAACCTTTAATTTTACAGCGGAAACTTCACAAAATTTATTTTCCTACTTTTCAGAAGCATTTTTCTGTACTTTTCTAGTCTTTGAAAATTCTAACATGTTGGTGCAAAATTATCAGAGATTTTAAATCATTCTTTGAATGAAATCATCAAAATTTGCTTCTGAAAAATAATAAAACAATTCTTAATCATCACTGTGCATTCTGGCCCGGTCCAGCACTGTGTAGCCCTGAGCCCAGCAGCAGCAGTGCCCGCGGCCCAGCTGCTACAGCAGCGCGCGGCCCGTAAGCAGCAACAGAGCGTGGCGCTCGCGGCGCCTCCCCTGCGCCCAGGCCACAATCTGGGCCTAGGCCGGGATTCCTCTTGCCCGCCTGGGCTCTATTCGGCCCGGAGCAACGCTGGCCATCAATCTGGATCCGACGGTCGAGCTCCATTTTTGGGAGGCTAAAAACCCCCGCCCTGGCCGTACCCCTCCAAACCCTAGGTCCATTTGCACCCTGGCCTTCTCTCTCTCTCTTCGCCGTTCTCTCTTCTCTCTTCAATACCGCAGCAGCAGCCACCGAGTGACTCGAGCGGGCGAAACAGCGGAGAGGGCAACCATGGCGCCGTCGTCGGCCCCCTCGCCAGCGTGCGCGCTCCCCAGTAGGTGAGCGTGCCACCGTCGAGCGGCCTGGCCGCGGCACTTCTTTGGCCGAGCCCGGGCGGACAGCTCCCTCGGTTCGGTGTTCTTCTCCCGCGCCGGCAAAGGGTCTCCCCAGCGCACGGCGAGGTAGACTACCCCTTCCCCTTCTTCCCCATCAGATTTGGTTCTCTTTTGTGTTTGGATTGAACCAATTTGCAGTGTGGGAATCAAAGTTAGGGTTAGGGTTACATTTTCTCCGAACCGAAGTTTGTTTCTTTTTCTTTTCTTTCTTCTTTTCTTTGCTCTTGATTCGGAAACCCTAGATCTACACCCTAGGCTGGCAAACTGCTAGGGTTAGGGTTCTTTGTTGAAACCGTGTCTCAATCTCATTCACACTTTTCTCGTACCCGATCTAGGGTTAGGGTTCGATTTGCTTTTCTTTCCCCGATCTAGATCTACGAACTAGACTAGCTCTGATGCCATTGTCATATTCTTTAGATCATCTAGGTGTAGATCCAGTGGGTGTTTACTTGTATTTGGGATAATCAGTGACTTAAAGATTCAGAGGGAGTAGGAGACAGAGAGAGAGAGAGGGAAATGTAGGAACATCTGACCGTATGTAGGTGTCTGACCACTCCAATGCATGCTTTGATTGCATGGATTGTGCATGCTATGTATGTAGGTGTCTTCGTCATGGTGATCTTGCTTCCAGCGGTTGCCAAGGAGAGAGCGAGCGTGGAGTTCATCTTCACCCACTTCAACACAGAGAATGGCATGGGAATCCACGACAAGGCATACATTCTCTTCGTTGGGTTGCTCATGAGCCAGTACTCCCTCCTTGGCTACGACACATCTGCTCACATGGTAATAAATATATACATATCCTCAAATCCAAACAAATTAAACTGGATTCTGAGCATTATTTATTCTGAATGAATTCTGATAACATGCAACCACGCACGCATTCAGTCAGAGGAAACAAAGGGCGCGGACCGGAGCGGGTCGATCGGGATCGTGACCTCGGTTTGTCATATTCTTTAGATCCGTCTAGGTGTAGATTCAGTGGGTGTTTACTTGTATTTGGGATAATCAGTGACTTAGAGATTCAGAGGGAGTAGGAGAGAGAGAGAGAGGGAAACGTAGGAACATCTGACCGTCGGAGGGGTTGGAGGAGCTCCCTGCCTTCGCTGGTTCGCCGGTGATGATCTGCGCTAGTCAGCGACGGGCTATGAAGTAGCGGTGGAGACCGGCTGTGGTGGTAAAGGCAGTGGCGCTTCCCGCCGCTGGCAGTGCCACCCTCTGGATCGGATTAGGGTTAGGACCGTGGGGCTGTGGCGGCGGTGAACCTCGTACCGAGAGCCATTTGCCCCACCTCCTCTTTATAGGCACTGTGCGACGGGGGCCCACTAGCCACTAGATGACTGGACGTCCCCGATCAGGACGCAGTCAAAGGGTCCGTCTCGACCGTTGGGTCAAGACGGATGAGATCAATTCTAACACGGTTGCCCTAGCGTCCATGTTTGGGTGGATCTACCTGGTGGCATTGACATCGCTGATGACGGACATCCCCTACCTCCTGAGCCCCAGCAACAACGCTGGCGGCTACGCTATCGCCCAGGCTCTCTACACCGCCTTCCACGGGAGGTACGGCAGCGGCGCCGGGGTGGTCGCGTGCCTGGCGGTCATCGCCGTCGCCGTCTTCCTCTGCGGCATCGCATGTGTCACCACCAACTCAAGGATGGGCTACGCCTTCTCCAGGGACGGAGCCATGCCGTTCTAGCGTGTATGGTACCGGCTGAACAGCCACGAGGTGCCCATCAACGTCGTCTGGCTTTCGGTCATGGTTGCATTCATCATGTCCCTCACGGCGTGTCAAGTTTTTTCAATCAATTTCAATCAAATTTCGTTCGAAAAAAAATTGAAACTTAATCCATGTCTTATTTTCAATCTAATTTGACAGTCACTTGGGAGCCAAGTGGCGTTCCAGGCGATGGTGTCCGTGGCGACCACCGGGCTATACATCGCGTACGCGCTGCCCATCTTCTTCCGCGTCACGACGGCCCGGAAATCCTTTGTCCCGGGGACGTTCAACCTTGGGAGGTACGGCCTCGCCGTCGGCTGGGTAGCCGTCGCCTAGGTGGCGCTCATCACCGTGCTCTTCTGCCTGCCGGTGGCGTACCCCATCGCGGAGGACAACCTAAACTACACGCCGGTCGCCGTCGGCGGCGTGCTGGTCCTCAGCGTCGGGGCGTGGCTGCTCCACGCCCGGTTCTAGTTTGAAGGCCCCGTCATCAACGTCGACGCCTAGTTTTTTGGGTGGCCGGCCGTTCTCCAGTAGTCTATCAGCAGGTGATCGATCGGTGCAGGTTAATTGGAGCGGAAGATTCATGTGTAGTGAAATATTAGTATAGTTTGGGGAAAATATACAGACTGCGATGGGATGGTTTCAATGTATATGGTCACATGCTGGCTGGACGGTATGGGGTTATAAGCCCGTATGTACACGGCCCAGAAGGGGTCCATTACCACGAGTACACGCGCCTGGCCCGAGTTCGATCGCCAAGTTTGTTTCATCATCAATCATGCAGCAACACCCCCCCCACCCCCTACCCACACACACACATTTGAAGTACTCCCCTCACATGTAATGGTTGAAAAAATATATAATGGTTGTGTAAAACTCTGTGAAGGGCCAACAAGAATATGTTTTGTAAGATCGATTTGTCTTCTTTTTCTTCAAATTTTGGCGGTTGATGTATTTATCAGGGAACAGTTCAATTGGTATGTTTTACGACAAGGAACGGTCCGGTTTCTTCGACACTTTGTATTTAGTGCCGAAGGATTATAAGCTGCGTTTCTTGTGGGTTTTCTCCAGACGATGCTATTTAGCGGGTACTAGATCTTGTTGCAAGCAACGAGTAGCTTTTTCGGTCTTTAAAACCTTGAATCGTTGGCAGACAGTGAATGATCGAAGGAAGAAGATGACTAAATTGGACTTTAATGCACTCTTATTTTTTAGATATCGTTTTATGTAAAACTTTCCATCTTAACTTATACTGGCCATTGTTTCACTTGATATATATTAAATGTACATGCATTTTTGTGCGCGTTCTATTAAAAATACTCTACAATTATCTAATGATGGAAAATTCAGGACGAGGTCTTTGTACCGGTGACCCTGTAAAAGGAACTCCTAAGCAGTGTTTGAAGTGGCTCCAGCGGCTCCGGCTCCTCCTGCCTTGGTCCTGTTAGACACTGTTGGTGACTGTAGCGGCACCTAGCAGGGCTCCGACTCCCTCCAAATTGCACTGCGAAACCAACGGAGCCAGAGTAGCTAGATTTGGAGGCTCCGACGGCTCCTCTAAAGTGGTGCTACAGTAGCCAGAGTAGGAGCCGCCGGAACCCCTCCAAACTAGCTCCTAGCATGTGCATCTACTCACTCCGCCTCTATTTAAGTGTTGCTCTAAGAATCTGGCTGCCAAACTTTTTCAAGTCTAACTTGTGTTTGTAGAAAATATTATTAACATCAATTATATCTTTGAATAAACCGTTGCCCGCTCACCCGCAGGGGCGAAGCTACATTTAGATTAGGGGGTGCAAATGCGCCCCCTAAAAATTATAGAAACAGTGATTATGTCTAAAAATTCACTATATATATACCCCTATGGAAAATATCTATGCACCCACATGCTAATTAAGTGCACCTCCTCTAATTTAGTCTAGCTTCGCCACTGCTCACCCACACGCGCTCGTTGTGGCGATGGCAATAGTGCCCATGGCACGACGAAGGGGGCCTAGATCTACGTGCCTGCGGCGGCGGTTGTCTGGGCCTTTGCCTCGCTCGCTCAGGAGCAGCGGCACTCAGCGCCCACACCTCGTGGTGGGCGAATCCCACCTATTGAGGGCAACGACGACGCCCGAGCCCTTGCCTGCATGACTGGGGGCTATGCATTCGGGATGGTGGCGGCACTCGGCTTGGCCCACACGGTGGTGGCGGGGCTCATAGACCTCCCGTGCGCGCCCACGCTCCAACGCCTTGACAACTCGATACTTCGGGGCTGGTAGAGGAGATCGACACTTCAGGGCCGATGCGTTTGGCTGTTTCAAGCAACTAGCGAGCTACGACATCATGTTTTGTGTGAGAACTTGCTGCCTTTAGCTCGATAGATCTCGTGTCGATAACGTGTTGAGGAATCGAGTTCCTTCACATAAGCACATGAACACAAGAACATGAGAGAACAAAGATGTATAGGGAAAATGGGGGCTCTTTTACTCGTTTAATTGTTTCAGTAGATCCATCTCCTTTTATTATTTTTCACATTTGTTGCTTGACTTTGATTTCATAATAATGCCAACTTTTTTGTAAGAATGAGTGAAAGGTGGTAATTGATACATGAACAACTAAAGAAACACGTGCTCAGACATGGAAGGAGCAAAAGGCCAAACCGAACTGAAATATAAAGCATATGGTAAGAAACAGTTCGCTCTTTCATATTTGACTAGCAAATATGCTCATACGTTGCAATAGGAGAAAAAAAAGACTAAACATTGATGCAAAAACGATAACGTGAATTGTACATATCTTATGTTTTGTGCTTTTATAATTTATTTTATAATGATCGTCACATCTATAATATAAGTTAATGCTGACAATAAATAACAATGTCCTATTAAACATGTATCGAATTAAAATACACCTTGGCATATTTTTCCTTTCGTTGATAAGTGCATAATTATTTAGATATAAATATATCATAACTTTAATTTTCATACTACCCATGCGTTTCTCTGACTCAATATCGACCTTTGTAGCTTTTTTGACGCATCATATCAACCTCAACTTTTTTATCGATGTGTCAAGTATTGGTTTGTCTGCCAATGATTATGACGGGAGACCTCTCTTGATTTTTCACACGGCAGCCCTCGTCAGGTATTACATAAATACATTTGTTTAGATTTCATTAGACAATAATTTGCCCAAGATTCCGGTTAACGAAATAATTAGGTGTACCATTAACTAATCCATATTTTAATAAAAAAGTTTTTTTAATCAAAACTACATCAAATGGTGTAAATCTTTCCTCTCAAAACTTAATGCGCAAATAAACATAATAAGTGCCGAAAAGTAGGGGTTATACACCGGAGCTTGCCTTGGGTAGGAACCGGACAGCGAAAAGTTAGTGAAGCCTTCGGGAACAACGACGATGAGGACATCCTCCTCGTACTCCTCGTCCACCTCCGTGTATTCCAGGTTTGGTTATGGCACGTTCTTGGTCATCGCTGAACCTATATGCATGCAACATATGCATGGATGATTTAACGCATCTATAGACAAAGCACAACCTAACAAGATTCATAAACATCAATGGATAGATCACATTTCTATGAAGCTAACAAAACTGGTTTGGCATTTTTATGTTTTTCTACGATTTTTTGTAAATTTTATAAGATCTCTGTATTTATAGATAAAGAGAAAAACCAAAGAAAAGGAAAAAAATTTGCATGGGTGTAAGGAAAATGGACCATTAGCCCATTTACTTTGGATTTTGGTGTTTGATGACCAACACAACCAAATTGGACTAATGAATTTGCAAGTGTTTGTTTTGTAGTCCAATAGGGTGCAAGACGTGACTTGGACGAAGGCGACATGATGATCCGATGATCAACACCTCAAGCAAGACTTTAGAAGCACAAGTGAAGACCCAAGAAATCAAGCAAAGTCTAAGCATGAAGATAGGAACCAAGCCGTACGTAAGATCACGAAGAAACGAGCTCGCAGAGGCGACCGGACGCTGGACCGGACACTGGAAGCGCGACCGGACGCTGGACCGGTGGCTCGGCAGATAGGCGATCGGACGCAAGGACCAGACGCTGGCGGCAACCGACCGGACGCAGGAACGCAGCGTCCGATCGAGTACAGAGAGGTTCCAGGCGCGCGAAACTGCGACCGGACGCTGGCAGCGTTCGATCGGTAGTTCGCGGTTGCAACGGTCGGGATGACCGGACACGTCCGGTCAGGATGATTCAGCGTCCGGTCAGTAGCAGATTTGCGGGAGTTCGACCCCAACGGCTACTTTCTCAGTGGGGCTTATAAATACAACCCTCAATCGGCCATTTGAAGGAAGTGGAGCTGAGGAAACATACCAAGGGTGTTGATACACCATTTTAGTGATCTCCACTTGCTAAGTGCTTAGTGTTTCATCAGGTGATTAGCGTAGGTGCTTTGCGAAGTGCTTAGGTTGATTAGACCACCGTTTATGCGCTTGCTCTAGGTGTATGCCTAGTGTTTAGTGAGGTTTGCATACCTCTTGCCACCCCGTGCTTGCGAGCACAAGAGTTGTACATCGGAGGGGCTTGAAGTCTTGCGAGATCGCACCAACCGCGTTTGTGGTGCGGCCGCCACCGTGTACCGAAGGGAACAAGGCCCGCGGCATTTCGGCCAAAAGCTTGATAGTGAAGACGGCGGGAAGCATCCGGAAAGGCTTGTCGGAAGGCACATCGGAGACCCACTTGCGCGTGGGGAAGGCCCGAGGCTATCCACGGAGTTACCCAACCGGGAGCTTGGCCCTTGCGAGGGATTTCTTGCGAGGGGCTCCAACGAGGACTAGGGGGAAGCTTGCGCGCTTCTCGATACCTCGGTAAAAATACCGGAGTCGTCGACGGGAGTTTGCATATCTCTACCTTGCTCTTTAAGCTTCCGCATTTACATTGATCTTATTATTATCATTTGCGGTAGAGATAGTAACACACTAGCAAAACCATAGTTGAACATCTAGATAGATTATCTTTTGCATAGGTTTTGCTAGAGGTAGAAAAAGAGGCCATAGTTTAGAGTTAAATTTTTAAGTTGCCTAATTCACCCCCCCCCCTCTTAGGCGTCCACGTGTCCTACAAGTGGTATCAGAGCCGGTTGGGTCATATTTGGACCTTTGGCTTAACCGCCGTTGAGCCGACGCTATTGTAGAGTGGTTGGGATGGATACCGCTAGGCCTCCACAATTTGACGGCACTAACTTCCCATATTATAAAGCTAGAATAGCTTGCCACCTTGAAGCGGTTGATTTGGGTGTATGGAGAGTCACTCGTGACGGGATGAAACCCATCAAGAATCCCAAAAAACCCACAAAGAGTGATGAAA